CACTTGGCTATTTCTGTTGTTGTTGTTGTCACTGTTGTTTGGCAGGACCAGGCCAGTTTCGAACCCTCCAGCTTGAGTGTATGTGGCCAGCACAATAGCGACTAAGTTATAGGTGCCAAGCCCTCTTCCGTGTTTCTTAGAGCTGCCAGTGTTCTTGTGTCCTGCTTGGAGGCCAGGGCTGCAACTGGAGTCCGGCATGCTGAGACAAAATGCAAGGGAAGGGGCTGGGCTTCTGGGCATGCCTGTAGACCAGCCCTGCTCCTGTCTGGCTTCTAAGCCCCTGTTTCCTACTAGGCAGCCTGAGCAGGGAGAACTTCAATGACTCAGACCCCAAGTCACCAAAACAAAGCCCCTCTGACTTTGCTCTTCCAGGCCACAGAGAGATCTTTAAATAGCAGAGTACATGTATCTGCAGAATCATGCTCAGAAGTGACAGCAGGGTCTATCATCACCTGTGAGCTTAGTACCGTGCCAGTGCTTTGTAGGGGAAGGACACGGTGGGGGCAGAGGGCTCAGTTTCTGTGTTCAAGGTGCCTTAGACATATGTCAGATAAAGTCGTGGAGACTGAAAGAATTTAGATTACCATTGTGAGGTGGGCTTAGAACTGTAGTTCAGGGCGGGGGGAACATCCAAGAAGAAGGGTATGCACAGGGCCATGAGTCCTAGGGGCCATATTAAACAGGCTGGGGAGAGGTAGATGCATTCCTGGTGAGGAGGATCACCTGGGCAAAGGGTAAGGTGGAACAGCACACAGTGCTGACTTTGCATGAGGGAGGTTGGTAATATGACCTTTGTCAGCACATGTTCATCTGCACACCTGCTCGTTTTTATCCTGTGCATTTCCATCTTTGTGTTTAATGAAAATAAAAGGTGTCTGAACTTAAGCTATCATATTATCTAGTTTTAGTAATTTTCAGTGAGCGTTACTAATTATACACAAGAAAATAATCTGGGTGTGTGCTTAGTGCATTCACAGGTGTGAAGAAGCAGATTGCCCCACCCTCATGAGAGATGTTTACAGCAACAGGAGGTCTGATGCGGCTGGTTGTGTGGTGGGGCGTTAGCTCCCCCAGAGAATCTATCAGACCGATAGCATCAGTCACAGTGTCAGCTGTCGCCTTCTGCTAATTCATGTAGTTGAGGAATTCCAATGTCTTAAGCATGAAAACAAAGATCCTTAGGGCATGGCTCAGCGCCTGTAGCTCAGCAGCTAGGGTGCCAGCCACATATGCTAAAGTTGACTGGTTTGAATCCAGCCCAGGCCTATCAAACAACAATGATAACTATAACCAAAAAATGGCCAGCCATTGTGGCAGGTGCCTGTACTCCCAGCTACTTGGGCGGCTGAGGCAAGAGAATCGCTTGAGCATGAAAGCAGGGGGTTGCTGTGAGCTGTGACGCCACAGCACTCTACTGAAGGTGACATAGACTCTATCTGAAAAAAAAAAAAAAAAAA